AATAATAATAATAATAATAATAATAATAATAACAATAATAATAATAATAATAAAAATAATAATAATAATAACTATAATAATAATAATAACAATAATAATAATAATAATAGGAACTGTCTTGAAAATGGTTGATGGATGGGTTGTCCCCATTCTTCAAGAGTCATAATTTTGAGAATTTTTGCTTTTGAATATATAATATTATTGTCTTTATCTCTAGAGTGAAATAATTCTATTGAATCAGAATCAACTAGAATGAATTCGTAAAAGATTATGGGCTTTAAAAAGTTTTGGTGATGGCTGTCTTTTGGGAAAATGGTATTGATTAATTGATCCCTTGTTAGATCTTTCCACTCGGGTTCTATTGGCATGATGTCAATATAGGTGTCCTTGGTAATGTAGGAATCATCATAAGATCTTGAATTTGATGGGGTGGTTGCTGGAATAGTATTGTGGGTAATGTTTTTAGAAAGGTTTTGGGAGATTTGTTTTGAGGGAGAAGGTATTGAGCTTGGTTCTGGTGCATGTCCTAAGGCTGCAATGGGGTCAAATTTGTTGTGAAAAAGTAATGGAGAGTTGGTGGCCGCTTCTAAAAATGTTGTGGATTTTGAAGGTAATTTTGTATTGAAAGATTGAGGTAACTTTCTTGATGAACTCGGCGAAGCCGATAATTGTCTTGATGCTTCTGATTGAGCCGATTTAACAGTATTGTTGAGTGGGGCCTTGAATGGCATCCCATAATTGTGTCTAGAGCTTTTGCTCATTTTCCTGTAAAAACTCTCTTGTTAAATAATCTGGTAATGTGTTTGACTCTCCTTTAATATGCTCAATCTCAAAATCGAAGCATGATAATAAAGCTTGCCATCTAGCAAAAATATGTTTTGAAACTAAATTTTTAACATCTTTTTGTAAAACTGATGGAGCTGCTTTGCAATCAGTTCTTATTAAAAATCTTTTTGAAAATAAATCATCTTGAAATTTTTGAAGGCATAAAACTATTGATAAAATTTCTTTTTTAACTGTTGAATATTTTTGCTGAGCTGGGTGCCAAATACCTGAATGATATCTGACCACTTGCTCTTTTGATAAAATCTTTTGTTTTAAAATTCCCCCATATCCTAAGTCTGAGGCATCTGTCTCGACAATAAGATAGGCTTCTGGGTTAGGAATCCCCAGACAGGGTAATTTTTTAACTATTTGCTTTACTTTAATAATGACTTGGGTCATTTCATTGTCCCAAGGTTTTGGATTCTTTCTAAGACGTTCATAAAGTGGGGCACATATAACTCTGATATTTGGAATAAAATCTGCCACATAATTGACACAACCTAGAAATCTCTGGAGTTAGGTCTTATCCTTTATTTCATTTGGAAATTTTTCTGAAAATTCTATTGATCTTTGGATTGGTGTAATGGTTCCCTGATAAATTTCATAGCCTAGAAATCTTATTTTAGTTTGAAATATTTTAATTTTCTTGGCTGACACTACTAATCCATTTTCTTTAATTAAATTAATAAATGTTTTTAAATGTTCTATATGTTGATTAATAGAGTTGGAAAATATTAATACATCATCTAGATATACTAATGCAAATTTCATATATGGGTAAAAAATATCATTCATAATATTTTGATATTCAGAAGGGGCATTCTTTAATCCGAATGGAAGTACATTCCACTCGTAATGTCCAAAAGGAACATTAAAAGCAGTTTTGTACTTATCTTCCTCTTTCACCCCAATTTGATAATAACCAGATTTCATATCAAATTTTGAGAATATTGTAGCATGATTTAATCTTTTAATTAGATCTTGTTTATTAGGTAAAGGATACCTAATCCATTTTAATACTTTATTGAGGGGTTTATAATTAATAACTAATCTTGGTGCTTCTCTTTCGAGTTCAACTGCATTTAATACATAAAAAGCCGAACAACTCCAAGGAGATTTAGAAGGTCTAATTAATCCTTTTTCTCAATATTCTTGAATTTCTTTTTTACAGTATTCTAAATATTGAGAATTCATTTGAATGGGTCTTGCTTTAGTATTGATATTCTTTTCATCAAAATCTTCAATGTAAGGTAATGATACTTCATACTTTTTTCTATGCTAAAAAGTTGTTGGGTTTAGTTCACAAATTTCTTGTTCAATTTGATTATTAATTTTCTTAATAGTTTCTTGAACATTTTTATTTAATAACTATTCTTCTATTCTTTTATATTGAATTTCTTTAGATAAAAAATTAATTTGTTTTCTTTTATTTTCAATAATACTTTTTTCTCTTAGTAAATTTAATTCTCTTGATCTTGGTGGATGAATAAATTCAAAACATAAAGTATTATTAAGAACTTGAGTTTCTAATCCTTTTG